TGATTCCGCGCAAGGACAGGCCAACAACAAACTCGATGCTTGGTAAATTAATCGGTGTCCTGATAGAGCACAATACCCGATCCTCAACACACGGACAACCACATTCAGAGTAAATCTTAAAATTCTCAAATGAACTTGTGCGGACCTCAAATAGGCTCTCACTTCCAACGCGCCTGGCGTCACAAAATTGGTACCTCGGCTTCTCAGGAACCTTGTGACACCAATCTTTGGTCTTGCTGTATAGGGTTTCCACCCCGATGGACCCCTTGGTCTGTGACAACCTGTGCAGCTGGTACGTCATGGCGGGTTCGTATTCCTACCATGTTATCAAGTAGAGTGGGCGTGTCCTCACGGACTGTGTGTGTCCACTTAATTATCTATATTCGACCAGTGATCACAATAGTGATACGAAGCCTGTCCACTCTAAAAACCATTGCTAACTAGCGACTTATCCTTGCCCTTCCGTGACAAAACAAACAGGTCATTTTGACCAGAGGTTACTGATTCCCTTACCGCTATCCGTCTCCATTTTCGGATTATACCTAGCTCCAGGTCAGTGAGGGGCTCGCCTTCGTTCACTGACTCCTCCCCACAAATCCCTTATCCAAGTTCTGATTCATTTTGCCGTCAGTCTTTTGGCCGATGCTCTGTATATGAGTTTCGGCCCAGTGACATTAGTAAAAATAAACCCTTATTAAATTCGGATTTTGGGGTGAGATGGCTTATGTGGTTAGAGTGCGAATTTACCTGCCGGAAAGTCTGTGCTTCGAACCCGACCTATGCCTCTCGATTTTCCCTGTCTAGGCTTGGGCAACCTGGTAGTATCCCAGCCAACATGCTTCCTTCGAGTGGCATGGTAGCTAGGTACCGAAAGGGTGCTGCACCTGAACGATTTTTCCAGATGGCTGTTTTCAACAGGCAGCCCCTGCCCAAATCTATTTTTCGACCTTTGCATGTTGTATCTGTGAAGCACTCATACAAGACCCCAGTTTGGTCATAAGTCTTAAATCGCTCGATCCCAACGCTTGATTTCTCGTATTTGACACTTCAGGTATCTAGTGGTACTAATGCAATGGCTCGCGGTATCTACGGTGAGTGGGTTGTGCTTAGTCCCAGGGCTGAATATTCCTTATTGGGCTGTATTCCACTAAACAGTCATCTCTATACTGTTAGATTGACCAGTGAATATCATTGCTTCTAGGTGTAACAATAAATATTAATGGTTCAGCTGTAACACTCTCTTGGTGCCTGCTGCCGTGCTTCCGAGGTGTGTTCTTTCAAATCAGATCGGACATTGAATGGAGAAAGCTGTGAGCTGTAGCTAGTCTTTTTAGACACGTAGAATGTGCAGGATCGGTCAATCAGCAGTTCAGCTGGTTTTATTTGTCCTCAGCCGCACTCACCCACGGCATGAACACGGTGGAACAACTTGAATCCACCAATCTGACACAGACAAATAGACAATCCTAAACGACAAAAGATACCAGGTCCAGATGACTTCCCCTAGCATTGTTTGAAGATGGTGCTCCGACACTGTTAATTGAATTATTACCTTATTGGGAGACAGGCTATTTGAGAAACATACTCGCCAATGGGCACGATACCACCGCCGTCCTTGTCATTCCTAGGTGCCTACACCTCCAGACATTCACTCAGGCAATCTGGATAGAAACTGACAACAAGAACGCCACTGACATCTGTTCGCAGCCATATCTTGTAGTGTCTCCAACCAGGCACAGTGAGGATCACGCGGTCCCTACCCTGGAAGGCGAGTAGCACCCAAGCGTTTCCTTCATACTCCTCAACAGGTTAAGAGTTGGCCACCTCTCTGTTGACGCCACTCTGAGTTGGGCGTGGAAAACAGCACTCTCTTCGGCAAACGGTGGTTCGGTAACACATGTCCCAACCAACGCAGCTCCTGGCACTGGACACATTCTTCAATGGAAGTACCCGTTAAATAACCGAAAACGCGCTTTCTAACTGCCTCATTACGGATTCGTCGACACCAACTCACCTGAGCTATGGTTCTGAGACAACGATTGTCGAACACCTGAAGACGTCTCAGTTCTGCTGCTCGAATAGGCCAAGTTTCACAGCCATACAACAAAACAGCCCGTACTGTAGCTTGATACACACGTCCCTTCAGATTCAGGGATAAACCATTCTGACGCCATAGGTGTCTCAAGTTAGCAAACGCGGCCCGAGCCTTGCAGATTCGTGCATTCACCTCATCTGTCACACTACAATCAGAACTAATACAACTTCCAAG